CTGTGGAGTTTCTGGCTTTGTTTCAATGCAATAAATCAAGTTGTAGTCTGCTGTTGGCCCTAGCAGAGCAATTATCACTGTGGCACATGTGTAATATCCTGCTTGCTGCCTTACTGTGATTCAGAGGCCTAGTCACAAGCTTGCTTTTTTCTTAACAGCCAAGAACTGAAAACCCAAGTTTCCATTAGCAATAGAATGAGTAAATTGTGGTATATTCATACATGGAATACTATACAGCAACAAGGGGCAACTACTGCCACATACAATGTGGATAAATCTCACATAATGTTGAACCAAAGAAGACATAATGTTGAACCAAAGAAGACAAACACATGAGTCCTATTGTGCGAATTCATTTATATGAAGTTCAAAAACAGCTAATTCAAACGTATGGCAATAGAGGTTGGAAGAGTGCTTACCTCTGGGGAAGGGGGCAAATATTAACTGAGGACGGGCACAAGGGAACCTTCTGAGGTGTTAGAATTGTTCTGTATTTTTATATGGATGGTGATTACATGAGTATAAGTATTGGTCCAAAATCATAAAGCTATACTCTTTAGATTTTTATAGTCAACTGATACTCATAAAAAAAAAATTAAATAAATTTGCGCAAAATTAAAATCTAGGTGTAGTAAAAACAGAACAATTTAAGAAAAGCTCAAGGCAAGGGAAGGGGTTATGTTTCCAAATGGCCACATCAGCAGAGATGTGATTAGAAGAAAATACTCCAAGGACAGTTTGCTTATGGCATGCTAAAAGTCTTCTAGCTGCATTCACACTTGATAAATAATGCCATCTCTTCACAAGTCCACTGGTTTGCTTCTAGGGGAGAACTGGGACAAGATCTATGTTTACACTCACATGCCACAAAACATAAGTATCAGTCATCTCCATCTAAGAACAGATGAAAGCTAAGTTTAAATGATAAAAACGAGTCTTTTTAAGGTCATTATCCATTAATATATTTGGCAAAGAAAATATTTAAAAATTCCTGCCTGCATAAAGAATTTGAAAGAGAAATAAAAGCCAAACTAATCTGAGTTAACAGCAGAGTGGAGTCAGAGCTGGCTGGGACTTCTAGACTGGGCTTTGCCACTTACTTATAAGCAGTATGTGTTACTGATCTGAAAGAAAACATTTCCCTTTTGTTGGAAAATTGCTTCTTTAGCAGCAGCAATTGACACTTTATCCAACATATTTCTTAGTAATTGTTGAGAAAAGGCTGACATCTTCCTAACTGGCACAGAAATACAATACAGGGTCAGAACCTTAATTCTGCAGGTTTTATAAAAACTCTTATAATAATTAAAAGGTTTTAAATCTATTTATCAATTCCAAGAGAACTTAAGAAAAATATGAACAAGCTCAGAAAAATGGTCACAGAGTCACTAAAGGAATGTTTGATATTCCCAGAAGTCCGAGATGCTCAGGAAGAAAAATACTTAGAATTTTGTGCCCAGCCTGGTTAAAGACCTCCTTCTAAAAAACGACTTTCTCATTTCTTTTGACTTTCTTTAACATGTGACAACAGAAAAGCATCTTTATGTTTTGGCTTATCATGGTACACTTTGATAAACATAAAAATTTGCTAATTCTGTACCCCCATCCCCTATTCCCCAGGCTGAAGGTAGCCCAAGTACTGAGATTTTATGGAGCTCTACTTTTTTGTAGTTCATAAGCAGTTTATGCCAAGCCTAAAAGCATGAACTCTAGAGCCTATAGCCTGGATTAAAATCCCAGCTCCACCACCACTTACATCACTTTGGGCAAGTCCTATTTCATAGAATGGTTATAAGAATTAAATGACAGTGCATGTAAAGAGTTCACTTGATAAAGAAACATACAACGTATGTTCAATATCAGCAGTTACGATTACTGATTCAAATGCGACTTTTTTTAATTGTTAAAAAAATAATTTTATGATTTTTAGATTTTCAAACTACACATGCCCCCCACCTTAAGAATCATTGCTCTATACAGGTGCCCAACTGCTATCTTTTTTTAGTGCACATGAGCTTGGTTCCTCAGACACTTATTTCATAATTTTCCTTGTCAACCTTAATTGGAGCACCACCAAATTATCAGGGCATCACAATTGATATTGTAAAGACTAGTCACCAAAATTTGTAAATGATTTACTTATGAAAACTTAGATCTATTTTAAAAATAAAGTTAAAAATCAAAAGGACATGTGTTTAGCATACAATCTAGCATTTGATTCATTTCACATTAAAACTTTATATGCTTAAGAAAATAGTCAAAATGTTTTCTACTAATTTAAATAGTTATGGAAATATAACTCTCAGGGGCTAATAAAGTACTTCTGAATGTCAGGGTAGCACATCTACTTGGCAATTTTTTTTGATGGCTGGCCGGTAAGAGGATCCGAACCTGTGATCTTGGTGTTAGATGGCTGCACTCTAATTGAGCTAACTGGCCAGCCCCCTACTACTCGGCAATTTGAAATGAGCACAAGAAATATTCTATGTACCACACATTTTTTTGAGAGGGGTGGTAAAAGAAACAACGCCCCCTAAATCCATCTGTTCATATAAGACTTAGCAACAATTATGTATTTTATGGGATCTTTCCAAAAAATAAAAATATTCTTGACTTCCAACTTGAAGAGTTTTTCTCTACAGAAAGAATATTAGTTTAAGCTAATGAATATCCCATGTTGTTTCAAGTTTTCTAGGAATACTGTCAGTAACAAAGTCAGTAAGTAAATTACGTTTTTCTACCTGGATAGAAAATACAATATTTTCCAAATTTGCCATGATTGCAATGGTCAAATAAAAGGATAAATAAGATACTGCTTAAATGTGAAATTAGGTTACCATGACTTGAATCCAGGTGGCTGAGAAGACACAGCACTGGAGATGTACCAAAGTGATTTGTGTATTATAGAAAAAGGTAACTAAGAACCCTTAAATCTAACCTATTACATAGTCGAAATGAAAATAGGTTATATTTCCAGGACAATCCATCTGAAGCCTAGAAAAAGGGAGATAAAGAATTCATCATAGGCTGGCCAGTTAGCTCAGTTGGTTAGAGAATGTTGCTGATAACACCAAGGTCCAGGGTTCAATTCTTGTACTAGCCAGCTGGAAAAAAAAAATTCATCACTGTCTTGGCCTTGTCCAAAGAAAGGTGTGCCTGCCCTGACTGACTTACTCTAGGATGTCCCCGACTGGTATGGTCTCCTAGCTGACAGGTGTGCATCAAGAATATCATGGCTTGACAGTATTGGCCAGTATACTGATCAACTCCACCCCTTCTGCATTCAACTTAAACCAAACTTCTGATTTTATTTGGTTTCCATGAGAACTGGTCTAATGTCCTCATTAAAAATAAGTATCCAGATCCTTTTTAAAATCATATACTTGCTGCAAATCATCTGGAACCAAGAAATTTTCAAGGTATTCTTCCATGTCTCTCATTTGTGATCCATTAGTTTGGGTTGGAGGGAAAGGAGTATAAACCAAAGATAGCATACTGTAAACACATTACTTTAGCTTATTTTATCTATGCAAGTCTTAGTACCCATGTCAAAAGGAAGAAAAGTAAATATTCTAGGCTAGAAGAGTTTCTAATTAGCCATTACACATCCAGTACCCACAAAAAAAGTCACAATTTAGTTTATGTAAAAATTTCCAAATGATGCAGCCATACATATGCTTTGTAAGGAAAGATATATGGCAGTCCAACAAATGTCAATTGTCTTATTCTGCTACCTACCTCAAATCCTGCTATAAAACTAGGTAGTTTAAAATAAACCATTGTGGATGATGAACTAGGTATTTATTTACTAGATACAACTATGGCAGTTTTGTTCTAAGAAGTTACCACATACAAATACTGAATTGTTGACCCTAGGGGAAATACAGGGTTAGGTTCCTATTGCCCGTCACATCTTCCTCAGTTGATCAACACAACACCTCATGTTTCTGTTAAGACACCTTATTTAGTATTATACTGTTACCATCCAACTCAGAGCTAAGAGCACCGTAACTCACGCCTGCAGAAAGCTTACCTAACACTCAAAATTTTTTCCATAAGGCACATCCTTTTTGAATTTAGGAACACCAGACAGCACTTCTGTATTATGCTTGGGGGCCACTTTAAACAGCAAAACCAAGAGAATATATGAAGAACACGGCACTAAATACACCATGAAAGGAACACTTGTTTATAGTATGATAGCTGAAACAAGGCAGAATCTCATCTATGCTAGGTGACTCAAATTTTTTTACTGCTCTGTGTATGTCCACAAATACTGAAAGCAGCATGAGCAGTGCTTTTGGGGTTACAAGTAAATTTTAGTAAGTAGGTGAATTTGCAAATACAAAATCCACAAATAATGAGGATCAACTCTTAATTTTTCCCAAAGCAATTCCTGCAAAATCACAAAGGCCTATTTTCCAGATTTGTTGGCTCTTGCCCAACAGTCCCGAGTTTGCTACTTTTAAGAAAATGAAGACATTTCAAGAACTGATGGATGATTTATCTTCATATCCCACAATACTGAATTCTAACCACCCAACATAAAAAAAGCTACCGTGTGCAACCCCTATCTGCAACACTAGATTTTAGAATTGATGTGGGAACTTTACAGATACAACTTCTAAAATGTCTCAAACTAAGGTCTGCTCCTTTAAAACCTCAAAATTTAAAACCATTTTGTACTAAAATTTCAAGAAACCTCAGTAGTCACAAATTGGTGTAATTTCAAATTGATGGTTATCAGTTCTATATGTGAAATGCTAAGATCATTTAACAAATATGGATTGGTTCGAAAATTCATATGGAAATCTAAATTCATAAAACACAGAGGAATTTTCTTCTTTTTTCACAAGTTAACTAAGACACATCCCCTTGAATTTAATATACATTTTTCATGGAAGAGATTCTAATGTCAGCTTCCACCTCTGCACCACTGAGATATATCTAGTTACATGTGCCAACTGCAAAAAGAATTAAAATAAAAAAACACAACCATGCACTGTTTAAGGAATTTTTATTAAAGCAAGAATTTTATAATCCAAATTATGTTTCCTTGCTCAGTTATCAATCCTGTTACCTCAAACAGAACTGACATTCTGAGCTATTCCACAGTAAAGAATTACAAAATTAAAGAAAGGAATGCTTTAAATTTTTGTACTTTGCTGAAAATTCTTTTTCTTAGGGTCTATAAAACATTAATTTGTTTTTATATTTTACTATTTTTTTGTGTGTTTTTTGTTGTTTTTAAATCAATAAGTAATCTAGGACTAGCATTATGTTTGCTAGACCTGGCATTTGCTCGGTACATAAGGTTCAAAGTTTCCTTTCCTTTTTTTTTTTTAATTTATTTTATATTTTGCAATGTTTTTTTTCCATAATATTTAAGTTTTTCAATGTTTAGATATTTTTCTTCGGTGAAGCACAAGTTTCTTTTCGTGGTCCCTGATCAATCTGTAAATGTAAAAAAAGGAAAAAAAAATTAAGATGACCAATACTGGCACTTGCCAGTAGCAAATTAAAGCCCTTGGCCAAATTCAGTCTGCTACCTGTTTCTGTAAATAAAGTTTTATTGGAACACAGCCATACCCATTTGTTTACATACTGTCCATGGCTACTCTTACGCTGTAACACCACAGGAGAATAATTCCAACAGAGACAACATGTTCCATAAAACCCAAAATATTTCCTACCTGGTCCTTTACAGAAAAGGTTTGCCAATGCCTGGTCTTGATCGTAGACACACACAGCTGTGTGGCTACATTATCCTGTTTCTTGGGAGTAAGGAAAGGCAACAGTAGAGGCCCAAGGGCAACGGGCAACTCTTGTAGCCACCACCCAATAAGCAAAGACACAGTTAAGAAAGCCAACCCCTGTCACAGGCCATTTAATACAAATTACTATACAAAATCTGTTTGAAAATGCTGTGATTTAAAAAGCACCAGTCAATACCACGATAATGGGTAAAATTTCCTTTAATTCCTCTAATTTCTATTTCCCTTTGAAAAATTAATACATTTAAATTAACTGCAAAGTGAACATGTTATGTATATTTCAAAATATGCTTAACAAACTGTTAAAACCGCCTTAAAATAATAAACTACAAGGGGGAAAACTCACTTTAAACAGTTGGAACACCAGTGGCACTGTTAACTGCTTTCTGGGCAGCCTCTTTAGCTTGGTGGGCTTGTAGTACAGCTACAGCTTCATCAACCTAAACAAAAAAATGAAAACAACAAATCAGCTCAGAAAAGAGAGTTTCAAATTGTTAAAAACTCCCTCGCACTTCTTACTCTTTCCCTATTAAAAAAAAAAGTTGACAAATATCAGTAAATATTTTTATCTTTCTCAAATAGAGAAAGCAGCAGCAGTTAAGAGCATAGATGCTGAAGTGAATCTGACTGGATCTGAATACAGGTTTTGCCACTTACTACTCATGTGAGCATTAGACAAATCAGTCAACCTCTCTTTATGCTTCAGCTTCCCTACGTATAAAATGCGAATAATAACACCTTAAATTACTATAAAGATTTACAATTTTTATAAAACTCTTTGCACTATGCATGGCTTGTATAAAGCACTATGTAAATGTTCTGTGGAATTAAGTTCCTATAATAAGTCCTGGAATACACAGTGTAAGAGGCAACTACATAAATGATAAATTTAAATTACCTTAGAACGGAGAGATTCTGGAGACTCAAGCATATGAAGAAGTTCTGAATTATCAATTTCCAACAACATGCCAGTGATTTTACCAGCAAGAGTAGGGTGCATGGCTTGAATAAGAGGAAAGAGCCGTTCACCTAGAAACAACAAACATTCAAAAACTCCTTCAATCAAAAACTTTTAATGGCACTTACCATATTAAACCGGAGTTTAAGAACCTTACTTTTGTGTATAGTATATAGATGCTAACCCATAATCCACCATTTTATTACGTCTTTCACGGGAAGAACAGAGAAAAGATCTGTCACAAGGCAACTAATCTGTGGCAGTATAGTTTGCCAATTAAGCAAAGTTACTGAGAGGTTGTTAAATTTGTGCTCACGCCAAGTCAAAAGCTGTCTTCTCATTTGGTTCAAATTCCTTCTTCCAAAAATGGAGTAGAGTCCATGGTAAGTAATGTCCTACTACTTACACCCTACTATCCATTACCAACAACACGTTTTCTTATTAGCTTTCCAGTCTTAGTTTGGCAGACCAATTGTGCCATCATAATCATTCATGCCAATTCTGATCAATTCCACTGCAGTAGCTGTCATTTTTAGGTGCAAAAAGGATGTCTAAATGATCTTCGTTATGTATTTTCTAGTCTCTTTATAACTGAAAAGGTAAGACAAGAGTACTTACCCAACATTTGCTTTTGCTCTTGAGGAGGGGCAGATGCCAACATGGAAGCAGTCAAAGGTTCCTGACCTTGTACATGAACAGCAGGCTAGACACAAAACAGAAAACTTCCTGAGTACAGAACTAATGGCAAATACAAATAAGACAATCACTGAAGGGATACAGACTGCCATCTAAACATGAGTAGGATTAGAAATATAGCCTAAGGTAGCTATTAACACTTATATGCTCAACTATGTATAACCACATCTCATTTAATTTCATTTTCTTTTATACTCAGAGTATTTTTTAGAATATTTTTATGATGATTAGTTTTGGTCCCAGGGTCAGAAAAAAGGTAAGGCTAACCTCACAGTCAAACTAAATTTTCCTTCATTATTTCTTTCTTACTACTATGCTGAACAAAACTCAAACCACACAAGTAATTCAGGATGGTGACTTAGACATTTTTACATACTATCATCAATTAGCAAGATGTTCCAGATAGCTTAAGCTCTCAAATATAATGCAGTTGTCTTCCCATCTTTGATTTCAACCAAGGACTGTTATTTTTATAAAGATGTCACTAAACCCATACCTGTTGCATGGTAACTTGTGGCTGTGCATTAAGATGTTGTTGAGGATTGCGAACTCCCGCAGCATATTTGTACTGTGGAACGGTGCGGACAGCAGGAGTAGCTGCAGCAGCAGCAGCTGCAGGACGTGGACCCATTGTCTGTGTTGATGTGTTAGCTAAAAAATAAAAACATATTCTTATATTCTTATCTTGCTATTTCAAACCGGAGATCAATTTTTACACAGGAAGGGTTGTAAGACTCACCAACACGCTGTGTCGACATGACTCGTGGAACCTGTGAAGAAGCTGGTCTCATAGTACTAAATGGTGGTCTAGGAGCGGCTGGGCGGATAGCACCGGGCATATTTTGGAATGCTACATTTAAAAATATGAACAAAGATTAAGCGGGAAAACTTACTGACTGAAAGTGTTCGTGATTTTTAAGAGCTGAGGTTTGCACAAAAGGCTAGAAGTAACCAAATAAAAAATTTTTAAAGCTGAATGTCACACCTGCCATTTCAAACTTATCAGATCAAAGCATAAATAAATAAAAACACACTAATTCATAAAAGACAGTACTTATTATTAAAATTGGAAACATGAAACAATTTCAAATACAACTAGATGAAACAAGATCTTTTAAAACTACTGCTTAACCAAATATGAAATTAAGAGTTGGATCCATTCCCAAAAAAGAAAAACCACTGTCAACATTATCTCACTAAGACAGTAATGGCAAAGAATCTTAATTTAAAAAAATACAAAGCTAGAATCCCCAAAATGACCACCCATAATCATAAAATTATGAAAAACAAGTTAACGTATCATTGATTAGAACTGGTAATTTGCCTAATTTATATTTTTAATCCAATTCCCAATTGTAATTAAAAGAAAATAAAAGGCTTACGATGAGGTCTGGCACCCTGAGCAGTCCAGCGAGGACTTGGTCTTAGTTGAGCAATTTGGCTAGGAGGATAGTATGCAGCACGGTTCTGAGTCTGTAGAAAGGAAGCAAACAGCAAATAAGTTTATCAGCTGAATAAAAAAAAAGCAAACTCAACTAAGTTATATGCTCTTAAAACATTCACATCTCTCAATGTTTTCATCTTAAGGCTTTATTATTTTAGGGGGGCACAAAACTAGAAATGACCGAATATGCAAACCTTCATGAAGTTCTTGTTCCCTTCTAAAACCCACCTGTGGGATAGCTGCCATGAAGTAACCTGAAGGAGGTGCTGGCTGGTAGGGGTTGATCACAGGGTTGGGCACAGCTCGTACACTTGCCATTCTCTGCATATACTGGTTAGTGAGGTGAGCCTGGCGCTCTTCTTTGCGCTGAGCTAAAGCTACATACAATGGCTTGGTGGCCACAATTCTACCGTTCATTTCTGTAACTGCTTTAGTGGCTTCTTCTGGGGAGGAGAAACATACAAAACCAAACCCTTTGCTGCGACCACCCTCCATCATAACCTATTAAAAGAAAAAAATAAAATAAAGTTAATGCAATGGTAGAACGAGGAATGAGTCAATTATAGTCATTGAATCAAATAACCAATCCCTGTTAATGGTGCAATCGTCTTGTATTCCCCCCTTGAGTTTACAGTTTTGCCTTAATACTAAAATATTAAGTAAGGGCAAGCTACACACATGCATTTTCCTAGCCAAGCAAGAGAGCAGAAAGAAGTAAAGGGGTGGAGATACAACAGCAACTTTTCAAGATTTTTAGATATTTAATTTGGTAACAGATTTTCAATATTAAAATTTAAATACCTAAATACATTCCAGGCCTACGAAACTGACTCTTGGCACCATAAGAAACATCCCCAGTTAAATTCTGATTATTTTAGCAATTCAAGCTGACAAGATGCTTTATTACTTCTGAGAAAAAAGTAGTTGAATCTTACAATATCCACATTTTAAAATAAAAGTTTCACATTCGAGAGCAGAGGGGCCATAAATATTACTATAAACAACACTCAAGAGGAAGCTTCTAAAATGACTTCAAAGATCCCTTAAATAAGCAATGAAGAGATGCAAAGAACCCCTCACTAGCACTGCAATATACATAAGCATGCTATAAAACTAAACTAAACAGTATGCTGGTAGCACAGAAAGAAACAAAATAGCTATAAAACAAAATCCAAGAACATTCAAACATTCACTATGAGAATTTTAAAATAATTGGGAAAGGATGGACTTTGGAATACTCAATACATGGCACACTGGGACAACTGAAAAAAATTAAGTTAGTTCTCTGACTCACATATTAAAAAAAACCAAAATTGCCAGGTAGATTCTGGATCTGAACATAAAATGCAAAAAATATACAAAAAATCTTTCTAAGATGACACAAAACCCCAAGTCATAAGTGAATCACTGGAAGAAAATATTTGCAACAAAGGACTGACATAAAATGCAAAGAGGTGGGAGCTGGCTGGCTAACTCACTTGGTTAGAGTGTGATGCTGATAAGGTCAAGGGCATGGATCCCAACATGGGCCAGCCACCCCCCAAAAAGCAAAAATCAAAACAAAAATGCAAAGAGGTAAAACTAGTAAATACATGAAAGCACTTCATTAAGTCAAAAAAAGAATACCGTTGAAAAGATGAGATAGCATTTTCTACTAAACTGACAAACCTTTTAAGACCAGTGGACATTTGTTCAGTCTTTTTGAACCATTTGATTGTCTTAACTTTAAACAAACATTACCGGGCCGGCCCGTGACTCACTCGGGAGAGTGTGGTGCTGATAACACCAAGGCCCCGGGTTCGGATCCCATATAGGGATGGCCGGTTCGCTCACTGGCTGAGCGTGGTGCTGACAACACCAAGTCAAGGGTTAAGATCCCCTTACCAGTCATCTTTTAAAAACAAAACAAACAAACAACAAAAAAAAACATTACCACTAACCAGCAATTCCAATTTTAGAAATTTAAATGTTAAGAACGTTTATTAGAACAGTGGTTCTAACAGTGGAAACATGTAAAGCAACCCAAAAGTTTATCAATACAGGTAGAGTACAATAACTTATGGTACATCTATACCATGAATATTTGGCCCTTAGCAAAAAAAATGAGAAAATACCTGAAATAAATATATATCTCGATCTACTATTAAGTAAAAAGGCAAATCACAAAGTATGTGTATTATGATCTATTTTCTAAAATCTGTTTATACATGTAGAGTGTTCAAATAGTATGGTAAATTATCCAGGAAGGATAACCAAACTGCAACAGCTCCTTCTGCAGTGAAGATGGGGAATAGAGGGGTCACGTTCCATTTTCTCTCCTCCTGTCTGCGGTTTGATAAATTTATTTTTTCAGCAAGCATTATTAAAGTAACATAATGCCTTCCTCCTTCAGAATAAATTCTTGCCAACCTTTTCACGTCCATGCAATGAGTGGTATTATAATCCACACAGGACTTTTAAAAAAGGATTTAATAAAGATTCTCCTTTGAAAAACACACACTCAAAATAAGCTGATGGACAATATTCAATTTAAACAACATTCAGGGAACATACTAAGGATAAAAACACTCAGAAATAAATCCTATCATATGCCAAGTACTCTTGGAAAAGCACAGGCCAGGGCTGGCCAGTTAGCTCGGTTAGAGTACAGTGTTGCTAACACCAAGGTCAAGGGTTCAGATCCCTGTACCGGCTAGCCACCAAAAAAGAAAAGCACAGGCTGAGACACAAGGCAACCATAGCACTTACATTTTTATCTGCATTCATCTATTTTGCCCCTAGCATTCCCTCGCTATCACAGAAGCTCCCCTGGTCAATGGGAGTGCCAGGAAAGACCAGCCATGATGTCATTCCGGATCTGAGCTAATATTTTTCCTGTGCACTCTCCCCAATCCAAACAAAATTACACATGCACAAAACTTTACATGCAGAAGGATTCTTGGATCATTGACACTAGACAAAAACATCTAGAGCAGAGGTTCTTAAATCTAAATTTTAGAATATGAACTAGAATCCTACTGTTATGTTTCTTCCTTCCTTTTTCTTTTTTGGTGGCTGGCCGGTATGAGGATCCGAACCCTTGACCTTGGTGTTATAACACTGTGCTCTAACCAACTAAGCCAACTGGCCAGCCCCTATTGTTTCTTAATCTCTGATTGCTGGGGGTAGGGGGTAAGGTTGGTTTTGATTACCCAGAATCAACAGTTCCCTAATAAACTGCATCCTTTAGTAAAATAATTACTAACTATGGTCATCAAATGCAGCATTCCTTAGGAAAGAGTTCAAAACTCGCCATCTGCAAAAGTAAACCGTTAGACTACAACACACACTTTAAACGTGAATGTAAGTTTTAGAAGTAATGAAGCAAAAACTTGATATCTAGAAAAATTATTGAAAAATACATCATATACTTTTACCTTTGCACTAGTGATTGTACCAAATGGAGAAAACTCTTTCCGGAGACGTTCATCATCAATACCATCATCAAGATTTTTCACATAAAGATTAACACCCTAAAAAAAGAAAAGAAAACTGTAGAGAAAGCAAAAGAAAACCATAGTGGTACCTAAGTACACTTCCTGTTATTTTATCCCACGTTTCTTCTCCTTTTCCCCCTCTCAAACCCTCCAGTTACCTAGCAGTAACTGAAATGAATGTAAGCTAGATTTCCTCATCCCTGTTTTACTTTGCTTGTTCAATTTAAAATGAACCTGGTATCTGGTGATCCTATCTTGCTTCATCTGTTCAAATTTGCGCTTAAGTTCCGTCTGCCGTTCCACTTTTTTCTGAGCTCGACCAACGTAAATTTGTTTTCCATTGAGCTCCTTTCCATTCATTTCATCCACAGCCTTAAAGAAATCACAAAAAATATTAAGTTAATAACTTGTAATGCAGAAGTTCATTTCTTTAACAATAAGGAAAATCTGTTAAATCACAAAAGCTAAAGATGAACCTATTCCAAAATCTCAAGGTTTTGGGACAACAGAGGTTCCCAATTTACGTTCTTCAAAATTAATGCATAAAATGCAAATAATTGAAAATATGAGAACATGTAAAATAGCCATTCGTATGCATACAGATTTCAACCCAAGACCAACTCAACTTTATATCCTCCCTTCTTACTGTAGAATACAGAAAGACCACACTGCACTTAACTAGCATATTTAAGTCTTACTTTCTGTGCATCTTCATGCCTTTCAAAGCTTACAAATCCAAATCCTTTGGATTTTCCACTTTCATCAGTCATTACTTTCACACTTAAGGCAGGTCCTAGAAAAAAAATATTCCATACATTTAGTTTATACATTTCAAATTTCAACATACAAAAACAAAGCCATGAAAACAAAAATGGTATTAAAAAAATTCTAAGACTACATACAGACACTGATTCCTTCTCCAAGCCTCCCTTCCCCCAAGCATGAACTATTCTCTTCAAAGACCCTTTATTTCTACTAAGAAATAAGAGAGTAAATACTTTCTATTCCCTAAAAGATTTTTTTTCCATTGAAGAAAATATGCTTTACACGGCTATAAAAGAGGAATTTATTCTTAGCTTTAATACAAAAGTTGCATTTTTTAGCTACTGATTTGATTTTCTTGATATGAGAATTAAGAAATAAGAACTTCTAAAGCTGTGGCCCACCTGGTTTTCAACAGGGAATACATAGTTGGACCCCTTGCTAAGACAAAGCTGAATCACCTCTAGGAGGAGTCATGTTTCTGAAGACGCATTTCCTTCCAAACTCAAGTGGAAGAAACACTTAACTGAGGTGAATATTATCTCAGGCAAATGGGGTAGAACAAAGGTTGAAAACCGCATTTGATTACAGAGAATTTGGAAGGTGTACGGGCACAGGTAGACTGCTTCTTTTGAATGTGCCTCTGTCCTAAAGCCTTACTTCAAATCTCTGCTATGCAAAACAAAGCCAACAAAATATCTGACATATTTACATACTGGTGGTCAACTCACAAAGCATTATTCATTTGGGACAAGTGGCTGACAACATCCAACTTTAGAAATAGCTTCTAATTAAAAAAGGATTAAGAAACAAGATAGGTGAAATATATAAAAGACAGCTGCTAAAGAGAATTTGGGGTGAGCTGTGAAATACAATGTCACTTATTTTCTATTATAACATGACTTCTCTGCACAAAGTGTTAAAATATTTTGCTACAAGGAGCGGAGGGTTCAACATGGCATGCTAGCTTGGCATTAAGAAAGTATTAGATTTCCTAATTCTTTATTTACTCAAAAAATAAATAAAAGCAAAGGGTGGGGTCAAGAAGATCCTCTGCAAACGTACACTTAAAAGTTCATTTTCTGATGTGGCACCACAACCTAAAGTAAGGCTGGTTTATACTTCATTCATTTCTAGTTTAATGAAGTTACCTTGAAATGCAAGAAAAAAGTATTTTAAGATCCCATGGATTCAGAAGGCCATCCCAAGGAGATATCACTGGAAAATCCGGATCTTTGGCTTCATCTTCGAAAGTCATTGGTTTAAACTGCTCAAAAATGATGCTACTGAGACTGGCCAAATATCCTAAAACTGGCCAGTTTTGCTGTCCTGTAACTACAGACTGCATTCCACTGTTAAGCTGGCTGTGTCAAATGCACGCCTCTGATGAGATGGGATCTATAAGTGCACGAATCCAGCATCTTAATGTAGCAAAGCCATTTAAAATCATTTGGAATTATTCAATCACACCTTAGTACACTAATCCAATGTTATCAACCTTTAATCTAAACTATAGAATTCTCTTTATATGCTACTTTGTAGTACTAATAGATGATCAGTAGCTTAATTCAAATAACTTCAAGTATTTCTAAGTATTTCTAAGTTTCGCCTCATTTACTTTTTTAGCATAAAATATGAGCCACAATTAATGTTGAACAATTACTCAAAACTTAAGAATGTAAAAATTTAATTCAGACACATTACCAAACTTGCCAAAGAGATCCTTAAGGCGCTCATCATCCATATCTTCTCCAAAATTCTTGATGTAAACATTGGTGAACTCTTTTGCCCTAGCTCCAAGTTCAGCTTCTCGTTCTTTACGAGACTTAAATCGTCCAACAAATCTAATAAAATATGTAAGGACTATAACATTAGGTTCTATTTTATAAAGTTCAAATTAATTAAGCCTAATGATTGATTATGTAATTGTTACTGAGAGTTTTCAGAATCTAATTTTAAAAAAGCACACTACAAAATAGAAATTGGGTCTTAACTGAAGATATGAAAACATGAAATATATAAAGAACTCTTAACTACAATCAGAAAACCATGAAAAGACCTAAACAAAAGCTCTCATCATTGCTGTTTCAAAGTGGTCCTTGCACTTTACTTACCATCTCCTCAAATAGAAATTTTTACTTCCCAATCCTGTACTAACACACACAAGAGCCTGGTATAACTGCAGCATTATCAACAAAATGACTTTCGCAATCTTAATTTTCCCTAATATATAATCAGCACATGGGTCATAGAATATTGTAATATACAGCAAAGTAAAAGGAAAAAACCCTCTCTCCTAATCCCACCTAAATTGTGACTTTTAGTATGTCTTTTTGTTCTATCTGTTCAAGAACATTAATTAATGGAAATACCTAGGGTTTTATTTCCTTATCCACCCCCACAATATGGTGGGGATTCTCCATGCCATTAGTTTCATAAATGTTCTCAATGGGAGCATAATATTTCACTGTGGACATCACAACTTTATGCTTTGGTAAATAATGCTGCAACTTTATGAATGGCTCTTTCTCAGGATAGAGTTATAGAAATCATAGTTCAAAAGGAATGGAAATGACCTTAAGATTATTTATACAAACCAACTATTTTCCAAGAGGGTTATATCATTTCACACCAAAAACAGCAATAAATTAGTATTTATCTGGATCCGGCCAGTGCCGGGCATTCTTTAATTCTCTAAAGCATTGCTAACAAACATTTTATTTGTGAGTACTAATAATGCCAAATATTTCTCATTTAAAGATATGCTACTTCTAAGAATTTGCCTTTCTAAACATTATTCATTACTGAGGAGTTGCTAGTTTTCTTACAGACTTGCATGCACTCTATACATATTACAAGTCTTTCCTCAATCATGGGATTGACATAAACCACACCACTTGAAGCAGTGATTTATGAGACCCACACCTTGAAGAGTGATGCAGTTGCCTTATAAGAAAAGCCAAATTCAACTTACATGCCATTATTGCCATTTTTACACAATGACAAGAACTCACAGATCATTTACAATATGACCTTATAAATGAGTTTGCCCAAACAATTAAGAGAAATCAACTGGCACTGCAGACAAAAATTTAAGATTTGTCATTTCTTTGACAAATCATAAAAGCTGTATTTTAACAAACTGTACTACAAATAGCTTTATAGATAATCAGTGCCATTAATTTAAAAAGTTTGCAACTTTTAAAAATAAGTGTATTTTGAGACAACTTCCAATTTAATTCTGCTTCATTTTATACTCCCTTTAATAAATTGCAACAAGACCGGTATGGCTATGTAAAGAGAGTGGGCTCTGAATTCTGACCACTGGGTGTATAGCCCAGCTCATCTGTAACAACAGTATGCAAAAGCAAATGATTTTAGCCTTGGTTTCCTCAACTGTATAATGGGGTAATTTAATTACTGCTTCAGAAATTATGAATATTAAGTTTGTCTGAATTCCTGGCTTTTCAATAAAGCACTTATTCTAAAAAAGCTTTATATCCCTGTTTACCTATCCTCTTCTTTTTGGCTTGAGTGTTGACCAATTATATTAAATCCACTGTTATTTTCATGTTACATTGAATGTGGAAAAAACAATTAACCAAATACTCACACTTTGCGATCATTTAGAAGCATCCCATTCATTTTTTCAATAGCTCTTTCAGCTGCTTCCTGTGTCTCAAAATGTACAAATCCATAGCCTTTGGAACCATTTTCATCGCAAACCACCTAGAGAAAAAATGTATACCCATTTTTTATTACTTGCTGCTAATGATTTAACACTTTCCCAGTGTTCAGAGATAATCTATTAGCAACCTAACGTGGGTATGTTTGGGATACCCATAAAATGGATATAAAAATATCCATTAACAGCACAGTTGCTAACGTAAGGGCTAAACTAAAAGTAGCTAAACACTGTAAACATGTTTATCTGTCACATTTTTGCTTACCTTACATGAAAGGATGTTACCAAAAGCAGAAAATGTATCATACAGTGCTTTATTATCAATGGATTTGTCCAAATTTTTAATGAATATGTTGCCTACTCCACTTTTGCGAAGTGATGGATCGCGCTGAGACCACATGATGCGAACTGGCTTGCCCTTTATAACATCAAAATTCATGGTGTCCAAAGCACGCTCCGCTGCCAGAAGGAAATTTTCGGAGTGAATATTACTACAAAACTTTTACTGGCCATTTAAGTTTATATAAACAATGGTTGGGGAGTGGGTGGGTACATGGTCTCATAGTTAAACTCTTTCATTTTAAACTTCAAGATGTCTAGACTTTTCAAGTACCACAAACTAGTCTAAACTTAAATGTATAATGCAAAAAGAGAAGATAAACATCAGGAGAAGCCCCAAATTTTCCATATATTAAAGGATGGCATACTGCTAATAATTAATGTGTTTGTGAACCAATCTCTTCCTTTAATTGCCATTAACTTAAAAAGCACCTTTTTCTTCCTAGTCAACTTAAAACCAATATTCCTTCACATACAATCTGTTTAATGGGCAATATAAAAGACATTAGACAATTGTAGATTATCTATACGCTGAATGTAGTTTATTGGATTTAAGCATCTTAACTTATTCCCAAAGAGTTGCCAAAATCGGTCATCTCACTGCTCATCATTGCCAATATTATACAAAAATTAGTCCATTTTTCTTAAAAGAAACAAAAGTTCCTGAATTATTGGGGAACTTTGGTGATGCATGGCACAACTTCCTATTACCCCGTTAGAAATAATAAAAGGCTAGAGTAAGATTGGAGTCAAACCTTAAAAAACTAATGTGAAGTTGGGCATACTTAGTTGCATAATAATCACAGAATTTTTGAAATACCAGGTCTGCAATATTCACAATTTGTCTTTTAAGGCTTTCTTAACACACAAAATCAATTTTATCTTAGATCACTGATTTACTTAACTGATGATCTCAACAGTACTAGAAAATTTCAAATTCTACCCTTTAATTAATATCAGTGTCTATGAGGGGATTAAATCATCTGTACCTGTACCATTAAAGAAACACTTTTAAAAAGCTGAGACTCTAAATGGGAAAATATATCCTTAAGTGAGAAGACTAGTCCCTAAAGAGGGGTTAAATAGTACATATGAAGTCCTGAAACAATTTCCACAAATTCCATGCCAATGTAACTGCAAAGTTATTGACAGGACAAATTTTCCGGCCACTTCTTTTTATAAATGAAAGTTCCAGTTTCTAGAATATAGTGATAATCAGCTGTCAGCTCATTATCAATTGACCACACCTACTCAGCTCCCTCAGTTTTTTTTTTTAGCTGACTTTGCTTGAGCTTCTTTTGAATGAGTCACCTCTTCCTATTAAATTGAATACTGGCCACTTTCAGAAGCTATTCCACAAGTCCATCAATGTAGCAATAAATAAATAAATAAAAAGAATCCTTCTAAAAAAGCTATTTGTTAAGATGGCATATTGTACATATGGAGACTAAACGGAAGATGGAAAAATGCTATCTTCTTTTGAACAGTTACAGTACTGGTCTACTGGTACAGACTGATAATATATATAGTGCACTGTAACCATGGCAACCTGAAGTTTAACTTCTCAATCCCAAGAAATTTAAAAAAAAAATTATTTTTGGTTAAAAACATTAAGCTTATAAAGCATAATACTTCCAAAGTTACCATTTTACAGTCTCCAGAATCCATTCAAGTTTTCTCTACCAACTCCTACACATCTTGCCCAGAGCTGAGAAGAACTGCTATGAAGTGATATTTGGAGTTTCAAAAGGGCAGAAAACCTGCAGTGCAGGTTCACAACTTCTGGCTCTGTATCATTCAGTATTCTGCTTACCCAAAATCTCAGTATCAACTTTACCCAGTGAAAAGCTGATTATTAACCAAAGTTCTACTATATGAACTTAATGAAGTAAGTTTAAACTCCATACTTAAGGCCTTTACTATTAAAATTAAAAAAAACAAACAAACAAACCAAACACTGAATTCCTTATAAGCGGCCCATTTAAAAAAAAAGCAAAATTGGTCCGCATAATGAAGTGAAGCTGATTTCTGGAAGTCGGGTGATGCAGATACAAAGAAAAATCCTGATAACTCATCAGGTCATACATCTTATGTGCTTGCCAAATTCTGTTTTTGTGAACTGTTAACTTCAGAGTAAAATACAAGGTTAGCTACAACCCCCCCGCCCCCCCCCCGTAGATTTCAAGCTCAATTTAATCTCGGTTATTTTGTACTCAATCATTCCCCAAGATTTATGGACATTCTGGACCACTTTTAAAAGAAACGGGAAACTTGACTATTTGAATGCTACAAATAAGTACAATGGGCCAGGCTAGGCTACACTAACAAGTAACATTTTACAGCCCAAATTGGTGAATATATTTTAAAGAAAAACCGTTCAAAACCATAGGAGATATTTCAAAAACGAAAAAACAATATGCTGAACAAACTTCCAGTACCATGAGACTAAGAAGGTCTAATTTGATTAAAATCACTTTAGTTTCCTGAGAAAACTGGCTTTCACATAAATGGGTCTTCTACATCCCCTTCTCCCACACTGCTGTTAATGGAGGGTAAAAGTTTGACCTAGAGGAAAACCTCAAATGCACATCTCACTGGTAATTTGCATCTCTAAATCCATTAGTCACTGCTGAGTTATTAAGAGTGGAATCACAAGCCTGAGGACCACCACCACTCATCACCATATTAACTTTATTCTAAGGGCCTTGTGGCTCCCCCAGGCGCTTGGGCCAGCAGCAGGAACAGGCCTCGGGCCCGCGAGGTTACAGGGTTCAACACGTGGTATTTTTCGAGCACCGAATTGCACTTCCTCCCCAAAGTGGGGCGCCGGCAAGAGCCCCGGGTGGTGGGAGCGCCTCCACCTATTACCCAGGAAGGCGGCTCGGCGCTCGACGCCCCAGAATCCCGCAGCTCCCGGCGGGAGCGCCGTGGAAGAACCGAATCTCACCCACCCTCCCGGCGCGTCATCACCCTAAAGTTTGAGAGCGTCTGAGGCCGAGAAAATGGTCGCAAAGGAGGAAGTGGCAGGGCGTGCGAGAGGCGTGCGGCTGCCGGCTGCGCGGGCACGGAGAACGTGGCTCCGGGGGACCCGGCTGAGGGTCCCAGCGCCCGAGCGTCTCCCCGATTAGAGTTGCTAACAAATCCATAGCCTTTGGAACCATTTTCATCACAAACCACTCCACTTTTGTGAAGTGATGGATCGCGCTGAGACCACATGATGCGAACTGGCTTGCCCTTTATGACATCAAAGTTCATGGTGCGCAAAGCACAATCGGCGTCCGTTGGCCGCTGGAAGTTCACATACGCGTAGCCCAGGGAGCGCCGGGTGATCATGTCCCTGCAGACCCGGATGGAGACGATGGGCCCGGCCTGGCTGAACTTCTCGTGGAGCATCGCCTCGGTCACGTCGGGGTGTAGGTCCCCCACGTAGAGCGAGGCCATGGGGTAGCTGGGGGCGCTGGGGTTCATCTCGGCACGGCTGCCCGCAGGGCCACAGGCCGCGACCTTTCCGTGAGAGGAGAGCGAGTGCTGGGGCCGGGGGCCGGAGTCGGGGGGAGGGGAGCGGGGGCAAGCGCAGAGGGACAAAAATCAACCGGAATCGAAAACTACTCAACGGCCGCAAGACGGGGTCGATCGCTGCCGCTGGTTGCCGGCTGCCGGCTGGGAGCGAGGGTGGCGGTGTCGGGTCCGGGCAGCGGGAAGGCCTCGGTCTCTTGGTTCCTTCTTGGAGCTGCTGCGGGGCCGCGGGCGGGCGGGTCGGTCTCGGCTGCTTCACCGGGTTATTTTATAAAAGAGGAAAAAAAAAAATAAAAGTCTCCGGCGGGGGAGACGCGGATTTTTTGTAAAATTTTTTTGGGTTTTTTAAAAGATTTTTTTAGATTTTTTTTGGATTTTTTTAATAATAAATGTGTGTTCCGAGCCCGGAGCACACACTCCGCACTCTCAGCACTAACCGCCGGGGAGAAGGGGAAGCACCGCCTCCTGCACCCTCTACTTATACCCCGCGCCGCACTCGCCACGCCCCCGCGCGTCTGACGCCGGGGCCCTACGCGAGCGTCAGCGCCGGAGGGGGAGGAGAAAAGGAGGCGAGGGGAGGAAGGAGGAGGAGAAAACAGGAGGAGGAAAGAGCAGAGAGGAAGGGAGAGGTGGCGGCGGCGGCTGCTGCGGGTGTGGGGGGCGGGTCTGGTCGGGGGCGGGGCTCCCACGCACGCGCCCCAGCCGGGGGGCAGGTCCTCGCTGCATAGGGCCCGCGGGGAAGGGGAGGCCGGCTCTTGGGCCGTCCTCAGAGGTGTGGGCTGGGACGGCCCCCTCCCCCCACACGCCCCGCCCCCATCCCCACCCAGAGGAGCGTTAACCCGTCACCGCAGCGGTGGGCGGTGTGCAGGGCTTCCGGGTTCCTCGGCTCTAACCACTCCCCACGTGCGCGGCCGGAAGGCGTCTCTCCCTGCCGCGGCCGGCCCCTCTCCGCTCGCCCCGGCTCCGAGGGACGCCGGGCAGTACTGAGCCGGCGTGGTTCCCTCCGGGCACAGTTCCGAAACGTGCACGGAAGGAGCCAAGGGTGGCTCCCCCTTTCTCCTACCCGGACCGCACTACGAGTACCGGCGCGCAGCGCCGCCAAGCCCGTCATCCGCAGGAGCGGTGCCTGCCGGGAGCTGGAGTCTCCAACGGCCTCGGCGCTCGCTGACCCCAACTGGCTGCCGGTCCTGGCCTTCCGCTCGGAGACCCCCAACCGTCCTGGGCGCCTGGCTCCCATCGGCGCCCCACAGAACTTCCAAGGGAGGGGGGAGGGGAGGGGGCTGTGGGTGGCTTGTCCTCTGGTTTCCGAGCCCAGCTTTCCCTCCGCCTCTCCACTGGACGCTGTCGTGGGTCACAGTGGCATTAATTTGGTAAAGCTGTGTTGGGGGTCTTTGATCACTTACTACCTTAAAAGGTGCTAGGTTGAAATCATTGATTCGTGCTATTTCTGCTAGATATTTCTTTGCGGTAGAAAACAGGACTTGAGAAAAAGGAATGTTTTTCATTAAAGTATGAGATGATCACAGTCACTCATATGGCACCACAGCCCTGCAATCAGATAAAATTAGAAATAGTCTAAAACAACACAAGTATAAATGCTTTAAACAATTTGTACGTTACTGTGGGCTTTAATAGGAATGCTGAATTTAATGAATTGATAGCCATAAAAAATACCAGCTGTAGGAATGACATTAAGTCAACATACAAATTCCACTTTAAAGTAGTAATGTGCTTTTATAGTTTTTAAGGCACTTGCATAAGCAGCCTGTCGTTTGTTCCTGACAGCAATCGTGTGGGAGGTGGCGAAAGTAGTAATAATTTTATTTTACTGGTAAGGGAACAGTCTCAAGTTAAATGATTGCCTAATTCATTCTTTAATTCAGTAAACTTTAATGCATGCCAACTCTATTGCCAGGTGTGTAGTAGGTACTTTATATCTGTTCTCATTTCATTAGAATTTAAGCCAGAAGAATCCCACACAAGTGCTACTTTGTCCCTCTCATGAAGTAAGAGGATAATAATTTTGAAAAATGTTGCCTGTGTGCTTTATTATGAAAAAGAGCAGAACTTAGGGCTGAGCGTTAGAAAGACACATCTATTACTAAATGATAAATCGCAATTCAATCTATTAGAACTCTGATTAAAATCAATCCATTAATATATTCTTCGAATGCCTACCAAGTGGAGAGGATAGATGACAGACAAAAATTCCTGCCCTCAAGAGGCTTATAATGAGCTCTCTGCTAATCATATACATGTAAGCATTAAAATCAGTGCAATAAACATCCAATCCTAGCATTTCATCAGGCTGTGACAATTTTCTATTAGGTTCTAAATTTGTTTTTGTAAAAGTAAGAGGTTGGAAATTTCATTATTATAGTTTAAAAGAAAACATGGCTTCATTTTAGTGTTTTCATTAAATTACTGAACAGAGGCAGTATGGAAAAACAAACAGGCATGGTAGGAGGGGTGTACTCAATACAAAAAGATAAAGGGAGATCAACTCCTATAACTGGGAAATTAGATTACACCAATAGTTGAAACTACCAAAACCCAAACATAATCACTAAGATTATCTATGCAGGGCTTTTTTGAAAAATTTCTGGTAGAGGAAGGTGAAGGTACATTTTCTGGTGGAACTCACTAAAACATTGTAAATAACAAAAGTGGGGGGGGGGGG